AAAAAAAAAAAAAACAAAAAAGCTGTTTGGGCACTCCCTGGTGGCACAGCACTAAGAAGCTAAAGCCACTTCCACATGAGTTCAATCCCTGCCCTGGAGGTGACCCACACTGCAGGGCAGACCTCTCCTGACCACACCCACTGCTCCCCTCAGGAGTGTATATCTGTAGACCTGCCTGTTTTGCTCCCACGGTCTCTTGTGAATCCTATTACCGCCCCTGCACCTCTGGCCTATCCCCCAGTTCTGTATGCATAAATGAACAGATCTTAACACACTCACACACCAAAAGCTGTTTGGAGATCTCCACAGAGGAAACATGTGTTAGTTAAATTGGTTAAATTATACCAATTACTCAGGGTAATTCATCCTTGCATTAATACTTCATTAAATTATACTTTTCTGTGTTAATATCATTCATCAAAAAACAATTTTGATATTACTGACCCAATTTCCTGTACACATATTACTGTTATTAAAGCTCCCTCCCAAGACAATTAACTGAAAAAAGTAGCCATCATCTTAAATCTTTATACCAACAATACAGCTTAAAATTAGACTACTTTAAGATTAAAATGCATGACAATACCACAGACAAAAAGGACTCAGTACCATTCCTCTATATCTGTCATAAGTACCAAGAGAATATCTAATAAGTTTCCACTGCTGCCTCTATATAGTTACAATAAGACCTGGAAGCCTTTCTTAGTACCAGGTAGTAACAAAACAGGATCCACTGCTCCTTCAATGTTCCTGTTACCAATTAAATCATTAATTATTTTCAGCTCTTTTCAGTCTTCTGAAATTCACTATAGATGGAGCAAAGGGGAAACAGTATTCAAATAACTGGATGGTTCCCACAGAGACGTAGTCTACAGTAAAAATCTCTTTACAATGTTCAGTACCCTTCATCCCTACAACACTATAAATCCCAATTTAACAACCCTTCTTATCAAGTACTACCATACATAAAACCTTCTACTGCCAGGTATACAAAGCTTATTTGATCAAACCATAAACTTCTCCAAATCTTTTCCAAACTATAGTTTAGCCAAAAGTAAATAAAATCATCTTAAGAATAGCTTGACAGATTAAAAAACAAAAACAAAGCATAACAGTGGTGGTGTCACACAAATTATGGTAGAAAAAGCAAATTTTTACAAAATAGCTGTAAAGAACTGGCTTCTGAGATTTAACAAAAAATTATCTGAGACTTGACAGAAAAGGGTATTTTTTTCTGTGCTAAATGAAAGTTTAAGTTGCAAAAGAGACCCAAATTTCTTAGAACAAAGTACTGTCCTCAGCAATTCCACATTCAGTACACAGCATATTAAGCTGAAATTATAATCTTCCAATATTAACAAAGTGTATACATAAAGACGCTAGGATATTTCTTCTACCAGCTTTTCCTTGGG